ACACACACACACACACACACACACACACACACACACACACACACACACACACACAGAGCATGAGAAGGGCCGTTGGTGTTGTGGTGTGCTGCTGGTGTGCGCTGGCTGCTATCGCAACAGCGTCCACCACCACACCAACCACGATCACAACAACAGTTGCAATGAACATGACTAAGCCAAGGCTGCCACAAGCGTCAGTATCATCGTCAACAACATCCAGTCGCCCAGACCGCTTGTCCCCAGCCACACTTCCACAAACCACTCTCCCACCTACGCCGACAATGGCAATCACAAGCGCGACCACAACGATGAGTGCAACGACATCGTCGACATCCACCACGATGACCCAGGGCAACAATGTTGCGAGCAGTGTTGCCCCAGCACCTTCGATGCCCAGCATGACCACACCTGGGGCATCGTCATCAACAACAACAACGACGACAGACACGCCATCAGTGTGCCCCTCGCTTTCGCTGCTCAACTGCTACAGCCGCCCCTTCTGCACGTACGACGTTGCCGCGCAAGCGTGCAGGCCCAGCACATGCACGGATCTGTTCAACGAGCAGGACTGCGTGGCGTTTGGCGGCTGCACGTACTTCAGCGACGCTTTGTACTGTGCTGAGGAAGGAGACGAACCGCCGTGCAATGCATACGCCAGCGAGAGCGTTTGTCCCACAGACCGCTGCTCCTACGACACGGGCGCCAACACCTGCGTGGACACGGGCGTGTCCGCGCCATGCCATCTCTACTTTGACGAGGCCGCCTGCACAGGCGCCGACGGCAACTGCACCTGGTACACCGGGGATCAGGGTGACCAAGGCCAGTGCGCCGATGCCGGCCTGCAACCACCGTGCGGGCTCTTCTCAGCGGCCGCTTGCCCCACGGATTACTGCGAGGTGTCGCTCTTCAACACGTGTCAGCCAAAGACGACGGAAAGCACCCGCGATGGCGCGGTCACGCCTGTTCCCGTCAGCACCAGCGTCTCAACGACTTCAAACGGCGCAAGCACAGTCACAGAGACGACGACTGCGGTGGGGACGCTGGCTGGTCAGACGACGCGCACCACAACCAGCACCACAACCAGCACGACAAGAGTGATTCCCACGACTGGGGACATGTTCACGTCTCCAACAACAACAACAACAACGGGGACGACGACGACATCCGAGGCACTGACACCGACGGCAGGCACGCCAAGTATGCAAACGACCGTGTCACCACAAACGCAAGTGACAACAACAAGCACTGCGATTCCCACGACTGGTGATATGTTCACATCTTCAACGACCACGCCGACAACCACAACCACCAGGGATGCATCAGCTACCACCACAAGGACAACCACATCGATGGGCATGGGCACCACGACGTCCACCACGACAACAAGCACAACAAGCACAACAAGCACAACAAGCACAACAACCATTGCGGCCTCAACAGCTGCTGTCACTACCACAGGCGCAACAACAACCACCACGACCACAACGTCAACCACAATAACCATAGCTACAACCTCAACCAGCACCACAACTACCACAACAACTACCACAACCACCACAACCACCACCACAACCACCACCACAACCACCACCACAACCACCACCACAACCACAACAACTACCACAACCACCACAACAACTACCACAACCACCACCACAACTACAACCACGACGACGCTGCTGCCAAAGCAGTCAACGACCACAACCACGACAACGATGCTCGAGTGCACAGTGTTGCCGCAACTGACGGCTGCTCGTGTTGTTGCCAGGTGCCCATTCACACAGCCCGGTGCTCGCTGCCTGCTTGGATGCGAGGATGGCTACAAGCAGGCGGTCGGGGAGGGCGAAATGTCTGCCGTATGCCTGCCGACGGGACAGTGGGCAGTGGTCGCTGAACCGACGTGCGAGCCCGTGCTGTGCCCAGCTGTTGGCGATGCGTTTGCGGACGTCTCGTCAGATACACGTCTCAGCGCCGCGTGCAGCGAGGGCAACCGCTACAACTCCACGTGCGTGTTTGAGTGTGCAGCTGGATACGTGTTGGAAGGAACCGTCGCATCAACGACGTGTGGGCGTGACGGCACATGGTCGTCCCAGGCGCTGGCGTCGCTTGCCTGCGAGCAAGTGCTGTGCCCCATTCGCGTACCAGCGCTTCCGGCTGGACTCGTGCAGATTCAGGACTGCTATGGCACTGTAGTCGACCAGGTGCTGGTGATGGTGTTATGCATGGTGGTGGTGGTGGTGGTGGTGGTGGTGGCGATGGTGGCCATGCTATTGATGATGATGATGGTGGTAGTGGTGGTGGTGGATTGCATTTATACCAAGCTGTGCTGAGTGACCACCATGTTAGCGCAAAGGGCATGCTGCATTTCTGTATTTTGACCTTCCGCAGCCTCACCTATGTATGTATTTGCTTCATCGCACACCACTATCACTGCTATCACTTCACCTGCAGAGCGTGTGCGGTCCAAGGCACTTCCGCTGTGAGGCAGGTCACACTCTTGTTGGAACGCCATCGTACGCCTGCGACCAGGACGGGCAGTGGGAAGTGTAAGTTGTGTTCCAAACAAGAGCGGATGGGGAGGTGGAGAATTGAGGGACAACTGACGTGACGGGAGTTGGTTGCGCTTGTTGATGCTCGTGTGTTTGCAATGTCGATGTGATTGTAGATGGCACGCCTTGGAGTGGAGTTGTGCATGCGCTTTCCTGTCTGTCTCACTTTCCACCTGTATGTGTGGATGTGTGGGTGTGTGTGTATGTTATTCTGCCACCAGTGCAAGTGTGGCCCAGTGCGTGGCGGGGTGTGGTCAAGATGAGTACATTGATGCGGCAAAGCTTGGGTGCCAGCCACTCACGGTGTGCATCGATGGTTATGAGGTCACCCCTCCCACGGCCACCACCGACAGAGTGTGGTGAGTTGCCGCTTGTGCTGGTGATCGGGGAGGTGGCTGAGGGTGACAGTGCGTGCGTGTGTGTGTGCTTGTGTGCTTGTTTGTGTTTGTGAATCTGTATGAGAGAGAGTGTGTGTGTACATGTGTGAGTGAGAGTGTGCACTGTTGCCACCACCACCACCACTGTTGCCATCACCACAACTGCACACATTGCTTCATCCCGTGTTGTGTCTGTGCTGCAGTGGCGCCATCACCGCGTGTGTTGATGGTGAATATGAGGACATGCCACCGACACCAACATCCAATCGCCAGGTGCACACGCACTCGCGTGCTTGTGCTGCTGCTGTTGCTGTTGTTACGTGGTTGTGTGCAGTGTTGCGTGTATATGTGTGGGTTCTTGTTTGTTTGTGCGTGTGCACATGTGTGTATTGGTGTGTATTGGTGTTTGTTGATGTTTGTTGTTGACATGAATAACATCCGACATGCATCACCCATCTGCACCTTTGTCACCGACTCACCCACATGCTGGTCATCCTCATTCCTACCACCACACCACCACCATCACCATCATCACCACCACCAACAACAACAACAGTGTGCACCCGTGTCACCGCCGTGCACCACCGGCCAATATGAGAGCGCTCCGCCCTCACGCAATTCCGATCGGCAGTGCGTCGACTGCGAGCCATGCGAGGTGCCATCATGGTGGTGGTAGTGTGTGCAGATGCGTGCCACACATGTGCTGGTGTGTGTGTGTGTTTGTGGTTTTCAGGTGTATCTGCTTGTAATCGAAACACCCCAATAGCTTCACTCACAGCATACGACCTCACACACCCCAGCATCAGTCACTCACGTCACGTCCCTGTCAATCCCATTGCGGCTGTTTCTTGCTCTTCAGCGGGGAGTGTCCTTCCGGACGGTCGGCACATGCAATGGAGGGCCGTTGCCTGCAGGCAGCGTGAAGCAGTGTACTTACTGCACCATTTGTGGGCCGCGTGAGGTGTGTTATGTGTGCAAGCGCGTCGTCTTGGGTGCGCCTATGTCTGTTCGGTGGTAAACTGCAGAATGCTGAGTGGTGCTTGCTCCTGAGCACTTGCACAGCATACCTCAGCGTTCTGACTGACACACACACACACACTCTCTCTCTCTCTCTCACTCACATACACACACTCTCTCTCACACGCACACACACACACACACACACATACACATATTATGCTGGCAGTATGCGGCTGCTGAGGGAATGTTTGCGCCACGGTTCTGCTCGCTGGTGGAGGACACGACATGCATGGCTGTTCGCTCCTGTCCCATTGGCGATGCGCTACTTGGGCTGGAGACCAAGGCACCGACCGCAACCAGGTGATGATGATGATCATGATGTGGATGGGTAGGGCGACGAGCATGATTGGTGGTGGTGTCGCGTGGTGTCGCAAGTGTGTGAATGCGTTGCGTGCATATGTGGTTCTCACACGGACATATCACACCACACCACTGTACATCACACCACTCCGCATCACACGGCTCCACACCACGCACGCACGCGCCCACCCACCCATCTATCAACCAACCAACGAACAGCGACCGCGAGTGTGGACCCCTGCCTGCCGCCACCGCCCTCCCCACGGTAGATCGCATTTGGGCTCGTGGCGCCCTTGTCATTGGCGGTGTTGATGAGGAGAACGCGCGCACGGGCTTTGGATACTGGGATGAACTCTTCACAGAGGTGACGAGGCATTGCACGGCGGCATTGTAATGCGCGTGGTTTGTTGTGCGTGAATGTGTGCGTGTGTGTACGTTGTGAGCGGATGCGTGTGTGTGTGTGTGTGGATGCGTGTGTGTGTGTGTGTGTCTGTGTGTGTGTGTCTGTGTTGTGAGTGGATGTGTGTGTGCTGTGATCCCGTTATCGTCCCCATCATACCCATGCATGGCTTGATGCACTGACAACATTGTCTCCACCCTGCAGGTGCTGACGTCTGGCGTGCGTGATACGCTGAGCGACTTCCCGGACGTTCGCATAACAATCATCTCTCTTGCTTCTGATGGCACACAGCAGCCATCCTCCCTTGTCCTCACATACCTCGGTGTGTTCACAACACACTGCACAGTTTAGTTTACGCGAAGGCACAGTGCGCTTGAATTGTAATGATGCGATGGCGTTCGCTAAGTACGCTGCGTAGCGTGGGCAACGCATTTACTAAACACACACACACACACACTCAAACACACACACACACGTGCACACACACACGTGCACACACACACACACACACACACACACACACGTGTGCGCATGTGTACAGTGGATGTGCAACGGCGCTCGTCGTTCACTGTTGATGGTGAGGCCGTGGCCGACACCAAGGCGAAATACCAGGTACAGGCTGCAGACATGAAGTGACACGCGTGTCATGCGTAGATGCGTGCACTGTGCATGTCACCCAACATGTATTCACTGGCTCCTTCTTCACAAGTTTTACACGCCCATCTACCCTTTGCTAATATTCCCCTCCACATCACCACCATCATCATCACCACCATCATCATCATCATCATCATCATCATCATCATCATCATCATCATCATCATCATCATCATCATCATCATCATCATCACTCACCATCATT